GTAATACTCTACTAGTTGATACATCATTAATAGATTTAAAAGAAACTCGTTTTTGTTTTCCTTTAGCACAAGCATCACAGATTTTATCATTATCAAATTTAAGCTTAGGCAACCCTCGAACTAAATCACCTTGAATTAGCCGTTGCAAAACACTCATACTAGCAGACCTAGTCTCCTATGCCATAACCAACTATCATGCTCATCCTTAGCAACTAGGCATAAATTAGTCATCAATAGAATCTAAATGCACCATGTAAATGTTTCCTATTCTATGACCAACAAGCATAATCCGATTAGATGCAATGTCAATGACTTTACAACCATTAATTTCAAATAAGACATTGAATCCTTTATCGCATAATTGACTAATACTCAATAGATTATGCTTTAATCCATTCACATATAAAACATTCTTAATTTGTATGGAAGAGGTATTACCTATTGTACCAATACCTTCAATGTGACCTTTTGAATTGTCTCCAAAAGTCACTTCTCCTCCATTTTTGGCGTTAAGCTCAATGAACCGGCTTTGTCTCCGGTCATATGTCTTGAGCATCCACTATCAAGGTACCATGAATTGAATTTGTTTCCCGTGCCTTGTAGCAATGCTCCTTTCCCTACAAACATAGATTATTTTTGATTTTTGGTACCCAAATTCTTTTGGGTCCATTTCATTAGTTTCCAAAATCCTAGTTCCCTTAGGTATCCATTTTTGTAGGATATCTTTATCTTTAGTAGTAATGAGTCCTTTAGGAACCCATATACTTCTAAATATTTTACCATTTAAGGTTCGTGAGGATTTCTATGATTGTAGTTTCTAAAATCTTTTCTAACAAAGTTGGATTTTGAATTTTCTTTTTCAAAACGTTTTGTTCCAACTTTATCAAAAGAGATTTTAAGATCATCAATTTTCTTTTGATGATCATCATTGACCTTTGAAAGTAAATTTTGCAAATCTAAATTTTTCTTTTCAAACTCTCTAGTTGATTTGCAAATCTTTAATTTTACTTTCAAGATCATTGTTGGTTTTGGATATGAGTTTATTTCATTTTTCAACTTTGAAACATCATTTTTATATTTTAAAATAATTTCTCATAATCCGAAGCCAACCCATTATATTCCTCTAATAGCTCTCATAAGATAAATCATCAAATCAATGAGTTAGAGGTTACCTTAGAATCTTCCCCGAATGCCATCAAGCACAATTTGCTACTTCTTGTTCTCTTCATCAGAACCTTCTTCATCGCTCCATGTAGCCACATGAGCCTTGTGCTTATTCTTTGATTGACCCTTTTTCTTCAATTGTGGGCAATCATATTTGACATGCCCCAGCTTTTGCATTCATAGCAAATGATTGGGTCCTTCTCTTTTGGTTCATTTTTGAGGCCTTCGTTTCGTTTGAATTTTTCCTTGGTAAGGTCTCATCATTTTTCTGAACCGTTTGGCAACAATGCCATTTCCTCGTCATCATCATTATCATTAGAATCACTCTCATCTTTTGTGGATTTGAGAGCAACTCCAATGTTTCTTCTTCTCCTTTGGTGTCTCTTCAACTTTATCAAGGTCCACCTCATCTTCAAGCATCATCTCATGAGTGAGGAGTGAACCGATAAGTTCTTCAAGAGTTAAGGACGATAGGTCCTTAGACTCGATGATTGCCGTCTTCTTTGATTGCCATGATTTTGGGAGGGAGTAGACTAACTTCCTCACAAGCTTTTCATTTGATGATCTCTCCATATGATTGAGACCATTGACAATCGTTGAAAATCTATCCGTCATAGCTTTGATGTCTTCATTTGGTTTCATCCTGAAATTTTCATAGCTATGCGTTAGAATACTAATTTTTGATTTCTTTACCTCATCGGTACCTTCATGTGTGACTTGAAGCTTGTCCCATATTTCTTTGGCGGTTGTACACGATGAAACTCTTCCGTATTCATCTGGTCCAAGAGCACAAAATAATATGGATGGCTTTGGAGTTGAGCTGGAACATTTTTGTCTCTCCTTCACTCCACAACCTTGGATGAGTGAGAGGTTTGATGTATCCTTCTTCTACAGCATTCCATGCTCCCATGTCACTTGCTTGAATGAAGTACATCATTCTATTCTTCCAATAGGCATAGTTAGCTCCATTGAAGAAAGGAGGCTTGTTGACGGGCATCGAATCGAGACGGAGTCGAAGTTTGAAGTGGAGGCCATTGATGACTTTGTAATCGATGTAACTCTTCCCGGATCGACTCAGAGGCGATTAAACCTTCAAATGAGTTAGGCTCTGATACCAATTGTTGAGTTAATCGAATGACGAAATTGGCCAAGAGGGGGTGAATTGGCAATAAAAATTTTGTGGAAGCTTTTGCAGAAAATTGAAAGTAATTGCACAGCGATTTATAGTGGTTTGACTTTCTCAAACAAAGTCACGTCCACTACCTTAGCTATCCCACTAAGGATTTTCCAACAAATTCACTAATTTGTTCTTTCTTTTGAGGCCAAAGAGATAACCTTACAATTCCCTCAAGAGTATACCCCAACTCTTGAGAACACTCTTTTCTCAAAGAGAAGATTACAAATTTGCAAACTTACAAGAAAACCTCACAAGGTAAGATGTTTGCACAATTCTAGAACAAAGAAAAGAACACTCAAAGATGAATACAACTGAGTACAAAAAGTGTTCTTGAAAGCAAAATGAATATTGAATGAAAATGGGCTTGAAATGCTCAAACTTGAGGTTTGATGCTTTCTCTTTGATTCTCTCTGATTCTAGTTGCTTGATGTTTCTTGTTGTTGATCAATGGCTTCTAAGCTTGCTTAAATACACCTTGGATCACTTCTGAACGTTGGGGATAATTAGAGAATATTATAGCCGTTTTAGTGTGAAAACATTTAATAAAACAGCTTGGAGCGTGGGGGGAATCGGTTCCCTCTCATAGGGAATCGGTTTCCTAAGTGTAAAATTCAAATATTTCGACCGTTGAACAGGGGGGAATCGGTACCCCCTTGGGGGGAATCGGTTCCCTCCGAGCATTCTGGAAATCTCGGAGCCAAACCATTCAGGGGGGAATCGGTTCCTCCTATGGGGGGGGAATCGGTTCCCTCTGAGTAATCTGGAATTTTTGGCTTTGAATTGGTTCGAAATACTTTGTAAAATTATTTTGAAATTGTTTTATGATTAAAACTTAATTTTACACTTAAGTAAGGATCAAAAATGATTTTTGAAATATTTGGAGTAATGTTTTGATATTCGAATAGTTATATCGAATATACTTAGAAAATCATTTGGAAAATCTTAAAATCCATTTAACTTAATTTGAAAATCTTAAAATCCATTTAACTTAATTTGTTATATCGAAATATTAAAATGTTTCAACACAATTACAATACATTGATTGTTTTGTTATAAGTCAATAATATTAGTGACCGTTTTGTAATTTTTCAAACCTTAATCAAGAAGAAAGAAATTTATCCAAACATTAGACATTAGTGTAATTTATCATGAGAGTAGTTTACTTAAATTTTAGGATAAATTATGTATTTAGTCACTCACCTATTCTCGCGGTTTCATTTTGGTCACAAAACTATTTCTTTTCAAAATCATACTTAACATTACGTTTTGGTCACTCGCCGTTAAAAAATTAAACAAAACTACTGACATGTCAATTTTTTTTTCCAATGATGATGTGATACTACCTTATGAAGACATGTCAATAGTATCATTTTAACTACATGTGATCAAAACGTAATGTTACATATGATTTTGAAGAAAAAATAGTTGAATGACTAAAACATAACCAAAATGTTAGTTGGCTGACTAAATATGTAGAATACCCTAAAATTTAATTACCAACGAGTGTAGTTTTCTTAAAAAGGATTTTATGGTTGGTATAATGCCAAAAATAGCTCACAACGTTTATCAAAATGATCATTTTGACTCATTTTGCTTAAAAGAATATTTTTTTAATATTGACATAATGCAATAAAATAACCCTAATATTTGACAGTAGTATCAAATATATCCATGTCATTTTTTGACACATTCGTCCACTCAACGTTTAATTTTGGCTAAAAATCATTTTCGATGGATGAAAACCGTCAGTCAACTGACGGTCAACGCCTGATGCTGACCAAGCATGTACACATAGACGTGGATGCCGACGTGACGTGTCCATGTCAAAGTTTATGATGACATGGCATTGCCACGTCAGAATTTTTATACCCCTACAATTCGCACAATCTCCCTCCTTCTACCTCTATCTACTTCTAAATTGCGGATTCATCATTTAGAAGGAATATACAATACCACGATCAGATGAAACGATCCAAGATTTTAGAATCTAATAGATGTAGGGTTCAAAATTAAATCAGCGAAAAGACGAAAGCATCTAAATATTTGATCGAAACAAGTAAAGGGGAATCATAATAATTAAATATAAATAATATTAATCATAATAATTATTTATTTTATTTTTTAAAATTATGACATGGAAATGCCACGTTCATCTGTACATACTTGGTCAGCATCAAGCGTTGACCGTCATTTGACTAACGGTTCCATCCACCAAGGGTGATTTTTACCCAAAATTAAACGTTGAGTGGACAAATGTGTCAAAAAAAATGATACGGGTATATTTGACACTATTTTCAAATATTAGGCTTATTTTATTGTATTATGCTTTGAGTATTTTGACCCCCAAACGTTTTACTTAGGGATAAAAAGCTCACTCTGATGAAATTTATTAGTTAACACACGATTAACACTTTAAAATAAAGCTTTTCTTAACCCAAAATTAAACGTTGAGGGTTAAAATGTCTCAAAAAAAAAGAATAAAAGACAAAGTGAATATTTTATCATATGTTAGGCGTATTTTCTCCTTAAAATGAAACGTTGGGTCAAAATACTAAAAAAAAAAATGAATAAAATGATATTTTTGATAAATATTAGGGGATAATTTTGACATTATGACTTTTTAAGATTTCATAAGACTTTCTTCCTCTAAACCCTCTCTTCCACCAAGTACCCTCTCGGATGTCTGAAATTTAGACCGTGAGTGCCTCCTTCACTGGCCTACCTCTGTATCGGTTGAAGAATGAACAAACAAATAAGGGTAGCTGCAAACGCTCCCCCAACTTACCAAATCACAGGTAATACACCATAACTCGAAACATTTCTGCTTGAAAAGCATTACCCTTTCTCTTGTTTCTCTAGCTATTGTTAACTTAGATTCATATTTGTTCAAACTAATCATGACCCACATTAGAAAACTTGGGAATCCATCTATTATTAAATGGGTTTTTTCTCATTTTCTTGAAAACCAACTACAAATGTGTTCATCTCGCATTGCACAAATGCACAACCCTAGATTTTATAGGACGAAGAGATCAGCTGTGACTGGAAAAGACAGCGCTCGAATCTCCCATTCCATCTTGAAAGAGGCTCAAGCTGCGTTGTTTGAATATCTGCATTCTACTAGGGGTATTCAGTCTATGTATGCAGAGAATATGAGCAAAAACTCACCCCATTTCTTAGGAAAGCTTTTAGAGAAGGTTGAAATTGTTAATGATGTTAGAAGATCTATGTCGAGGTTTTTGCGATATCATCCGATTAATGAGTTCGAACCTTTCTTTGAGAGTTTGGGACTGGAGCCTTGGGAGTATACTCCTTTACTTCCTAGGGATTTGATGTTTCTGAGTGATGATTGTTTATTGCTAGAGAACTATAGGGTCTTGTGCGAATGTGGGATTGAACGAAAGAAGATTGGTCGAATATATAAGAAAGCGGTTCAAGTGTTTCAACTTGAATTCGGAGTTTTGCCGTTGAAGCTTCGAGCGTATAAAGAACTCGGGCTTAGCCAGTCGTTTATGGCCAAGATTATTGTATGTAGTCCTCATGTTTTGATTGGGGATGTAGATATGAAACTCATTAAGGTATCCGAGATTTTGAGATGTGCGGGATTCGATTATGTGTGGATCAAGGAGAACTTGTCCGAGGAGTCTTATAATTGGAGCATGATGTTTCGTGTTTTGAGCTTCTTTTGGGAGATATGTTGCAGGAGTGAGTTACACAGATTAATAAGCCAGCATCCAAGGCTTCTGTTTGAGGGCTCCAGGGATGGATTGCTTTCACTAATCACATTCCTGTTGAGATTTGGACTCCCTATGGATCAAATATCTTCTATGTTTTTACAATTTCCGAAAATCCGAGTTTCGGAATTTGTTTCAAATTTTATCAGATGCTTTATGTTTTTTCATGAGATTGGGATGGCAGCAGATGCGATTGGAAAACTTGTGTGTTCTTACCCCATATTACTTGGTTCATGCAAGTTGAAGAAAACTAATAGTTTGCTTACTAACTTGAATGTTGGTAAAAAGCGGCTTTGTAAATACATCCAAGAGAACCCTCAAGAATTGAGTAAATGGGGTATGGGAACAAGAGTTATGCCATTACCAGACTCAGGAGAGGACACTGAGTCACAAAAGTTGAAGACGAAGTTCCTCTTAGACTTGGGATACGGAGAAAACCCGGACACGATGAAGAAAGCATTCAAGGTGTTTCGAGGCAGGGGAGGAGAGCTTCAGGAGAGATTTGATTCTATTGTGAATGCTGGTTTGGTGAAGGAAGATGTTTCTAAAATGGTCAGGTTAACCCCTCATATCCTAAACCTATCGAAAGCCGTCATCCAATCTAGGATCGATATTCTAGTGAACGAATTAGGTTTCCCTTTATCCTCTTTGATCTTATTCCCCGCGTATTTTACCTACACGACACAGAGGGTCAGGCTTAGATTGGCAATGTACAACTGGCTCAGAGATCAGGAAAAGGTAGAGCCTGACCTGGCCTTGAGCACTCTTCTTTCATGTTCGGACAAAATATTCATGAGCCGATATGTAAATAGTCATCCTTGTGGCCTGCAAGTTTGGCAGGATTTGAAAAGAAAAATTTACCCTGGATAAATGATATTGTTTCCGTATTTATTTGCACTTTGTATTGTTATACCATTGTAGTTGCTACCCAGTTTGAGGGTACTTGATTTTGGTTCACCTAGCTTGCGTTCATACATAGTAAACGGGTGCCTGTTTCTTTAAACTACCATTAGACATACGGGCAGAGTTTGTTTTTGAAAGGTGGGGCCTCGTTAGAACCCCCTTTATAATCGACAATAAACCAAGATTCAACGTCAAAAAGCGGAAGGGGGAAAAGAGTGTATACGGGCAGTGTTGATGTGCCTCAGGTAATAAACTTATATAATTATTTTTTTGGTAATAAACTTTTCATGGGTAAGTTAGATACTTTCTTTGGTAAAAAATTATTTTTTTTATATAATTAGAATTGTATAGTAAAGTAGTCTATCAAATAGTTTGATTCGCTCACTATTCATTTATAACTTCCTAAATCATCTCGTTTGATAGAGACAATAAATATTTACGAAAGTTATTTGTTTTGTTATTTGTTTTCTTTTGATGTTGGTCATCATATGGAAGATTTTGTTTTTTTTTCCTTCATATTTTTAGATTTAATATTTTGTTTTAGTATAATTTTTTTGCTGACTATTGTTCTTATTTTTTTCTCTTATACTTGAGTTTGTTGTAATTCCTAATTTTTCTATTATTTTTATTAATTAAATCCAATTACTATTATATATATATATATAGATAAAGGATAGGAGCAATATATAAAACTAGTGCTTGTTTAAAAGTATAAAAATACATTTATATGGATCTTGTTGCCAGCTTCTGTTCAGAGAGAAGGTGGGGGCATGGGCAAAGAGAAAAGGGTTCGAAAACTGAAACAGTGTGGAGCCCCAACCTGTGTTGGTTGGCCAAATCTGCAGCACTCACTGATCCCCACCCTAGAGTTGTAAAATCGGTAATCGTTCAGGTTTTATTCGGATTTTATCAGGTTGGATAAAATCATATACATGTTAATTTAGATAAATTTGATGCTTCAACTCGGATCATGTCGAGTCTAGGTCAAATCAGGTCGGATCATTTTCAGGTTGATTTGACAATAGGTACATTTCGGGTTCAAGTCGAGTTACTTTCAGTTTGGATCAATGTCAGTTCAAGTCAAAACAGTTCAGGTTAAGATGGACATCAGACGAATTTAGTTTAGATCTTGGCAGATAAAATTTAGGTCAAATCTTTATCAGATACAGATTGAGTTCAATCTGATCAATTTTTATTTTTGGATTAATTATTTTTGTCTTTCGCGAACGTTGAATTGCAATGTGTAATTGTATATGATTTAGAATAAATTACTAAGAATATAAATAATCATGAATCAATTTTATGAAAAATATAAAATTAATGACTAAATTGAACAAATATAAAATTATAAGTAAAATTTTAAATAAATTAAACAACACACATTGATGAGGGACCAAATTGAAATAATTTTAAAATGTGAGAGCACAAGGTTCTTAATCTTGAGGTCATGGGATCGAGTCCCATAGAGGGCATTTTATAATTTGGAGGTCTCCTACGTAAGTTGCTCTCAACCTAATGTTGGGGGCATCCTACTATCTTACCTTCCCCTTACCCTATTACATATGGGAACAAGGGACAACCATTTTTTTTTAAAATGTGAGGTTGAAATTAATATAAAGAGTATTAAAGTATACACATTAAAAAAGTTATGGGCCAATTAAAAAATGTAAATAAGTAATAAGTATGTGTATATTTCAGATGCAAATATAATTTTAAGGACTAAATTGAAAAAAATATGAAATTACAAATAGAATTTTAAATAAATTAAACAACACAAAAGGATCAAATCGAAATAGTTATAAAATCTATAAAATTACCTAAATTAATTTTTTTTGAGAAAAAAATTGAAACAATTATAATATATATATATATATATATATATATATATATATATGAACTATGTATATAAACTATATAGTTTATATTTATATTATTATAAACTATATATTATATATCTAAATTATATAGTTTATATTTATATTATTAATGTAAATTATATATAAACTATATATATATATATATATATATATATATATTATGTATAAACTATAGAGTTTATATCTGAACTATTGGACTATATATAAACTATATAGTTTATTAATATAAATTATATAGTTTATATATAAACTAAATATGAATTATATTTAAATATATACAACTTATATTTATATGTTATGTATAATTATAAAGTATATATACTATGTATAAATTATATAGTTTAAATATAAAGTATATATATAAACTATAAAGTGTGTATAAATATATATTGTCATGATAATTTTTTTCTCGAAAAGCGCATATATTCGGAATAAAATAGAAAATCAAAAATTGAAATTTTGGAAAAGATTTAAAACGTTTGGAGTCGTTATCAACCTTTAGGATTTGGTATGCGATTAAGAGATTTTGAGTTCGAGATTTGATTACGCTTGAGGAAGGATTAATACCCTATAACACCCAAAATTAATACCTCTAATTATTATTTTATCCCTATGTCGAAATTTAAGAAATTCAAATATTTATTTAATTAATGATCCTTTTATTCCCTAAAATATTTGAGAATTTTAGAGATGTGCACATTATTCATGTATTTCCAATTAAAGAAGAAACTAACCCCTAATCGAAATTAAGACAATTATTTCTTATGTTCCAATTAAAGAATTAATCAATTATTAAACCTTAAAATGAAAATTAAAGCAACAAGTTAACCGATTTAATTACTAAAAGAATAAGGACGTTCATTGATTTAAAGAACAAATGTCAAGCCTTTGATGTTAATCAAACGTTAATCAAACAACTCGTCCTTAACAATTTAAATGTAATAACAAACATCTATCATTTTGTTTAAAATTAATGAACCTATTTAATCTTTACGATGATCACTTGATAAAATATTTTTTCGAACTTTATCGGCGGTAACGGAGCATGGCGGACAACGAAGGCTCACCGGCCGACGGTGATGCCCTAGTTTTTTGGAGAAGATAACATAGCCATTGGATCTATTTTTGATCCAATGGCCTAGATTTGTTTGTTTTTCGAAGGGATGACATCTCCCTCCTAAAATGCTGCCCCTAATTAAAGCTTTGTCTTCATTCAAATTTTAAAGCAAAAGTCATCCCCCACCTATACCAAAACCGGCGGCTAGGCTTAGAAAATAGGTTTTTTGTTTGTTTATTTATTTAGTTATTGTATATATTATAAATAAAAAGAAGTGGGTTATCTTTGGGCCTATGCAACACCAATGTAAATGGACTATCTAAATGCTAATGGACCTTATTTTTTGGGTTTTGTTATTTATTTATCAAAATAAATGGGCTATATGAATTAACCTAATCATGCAATTTATAAACTATATAATATGTACAAACTATATAATATGCAATGCAACACACACTAATTATTTAACAAAATATAATATGAATGCAACATGAAATGCAATTCAACATGAACATGCAATACTAAAATATGCCATGCAATTATTTAATACTATAATATCTAATATCTAACACATGTAATTATTTACTATGCAATGCAACTAACATTAATAATATGTAACTACCTTATGAAAAAAAGATATTATATGATGAAATGCATTTTAATAACTAAACTATACTATATATATTATGCCCACATTATTTATTATAAACTATATATTATAAGAATAAAATGCCCCATGAGTGTCACCATCCGGATATATATATATATAAAGTATAATTATAAAGACTAAATATATAAGTATATAAATATATATATATATATATATATATATATATATATATATATATTTATTTATTTATAAGTATACTCTCTCTCTCTCTCTATATATATATAAAGTATAAAAGTATAATATAAAGTATAAAGTATAATTATAAAGACTAAAGTATATAAATATATAAAATACAATATATAAAGTATATATACATATATAAGTATGTATAAATATATAAACTATAAAGTATCAAAGTATATAAGTATATATAAAATATATAAGTATTAAATATAAGTATATAAGTATATATATATAGACTATAAAGTATGTATATATATATATATAAAGTATAAGTGTATATTTAAACTATAAATATAGATATATACTTTATATATACTTATATACTTTAGTCTTTATAATTAAACTCTCTCTATATAATATATTTATACTTTATATTATATACTTTATACTAAAACTTTATATATATATATATAAGTATATAATATAAAGTATATATATATAAAGTTTTAGTATAAAGTATATTACTTTATAGTTTATATATATATACTTATAATATACTTATATTTTATAGTTTTATATATATATATATATATACACTTTATACTTTAAAGTATATATACCTTATAGTTTTTATATATACTTTATAGTTTAAACTTTATATATATACTTATACTCTTTTTATATATGTATATTTAAATATATATATATATATATATATATATATATATTTATATATACTTATAATGTATTAATTTATGTATAAGTATAATGTACATTATATATACATGCATCATATTATCTAACATTCATTATACATATTATATATTTAAATAAGTATATATATATATATATATATATATATATATTATAATTGTTTTAATTTTCCCCAACTTCTGAAGTTAATGCAATTAAGTCTATTTTACAAATTTTCCTCACATTTTACAATTTTTTTGATTTGATCCTTTTATGTTGTTTATTGTATTTAAATTTTAATTTATAATTTCATATTTGTTCAATTTAGTCCTTCAAATTATATTTGTATATGAAATTGACCCATACTTATTTATATTTTTGTAATTTACTTAAAACCCTATTGTAAAGGCGTTTCTCTGCCCTGGCGACGGAGAGTGCAAATTAGACACCCCAGACAGTGTAACTAGTCTCAAAAAAGTAAGTGTTTATCCTCCATGAATAAGATTAAACACCAAGTTGTAGAGTCGCCACCAATCTTTTTATTTGGTGAGATTGGTCACCAAAATGTCAT